GAGGTCTTTTAAACTGAGTCCAACTGGCTAACTAAATGAAATTTTTTTTCACTATTAGAAAAAAATGAGTTGGATTTCACTAGGTGGATTTAAGGTGGAGTGGGAGAAAGGGGCATTTTAGACAGGTGAGAGAGCACGTGTGAATGTATGGAGTCTTAAAAAAAAGCAAGGTGTGCTCAGGCAGCTCAATATGGTTGACCTGTAGACTGCAGGTAAGGAAAGTGTGAATGAAATATGGGCTAGCTTATTTCGGGATATATGTGCCATGTATATATGTCATACATTTCTACCAGGTGCCTAGTATTAGAAGTCAGGAAATTTTTTAGCAGGAAAGTGATTTGATAAGATATATGTTTTTAAAATCAACCCTGGCAGCAGTGTAGAAAATGGAGTGGAAAGTGATGAGGGAGAGAGATGAGTTATAAAGCCTTTGCATCATCTAGGCAAGAGATACCAAGAGCACATGCCAAGGCAGTGGCATAGAGATGGGCAGAAAAGCGTCCTGGAGAGGAGATAAAAACTTTTGCTTGCCATTTAAATTCCATAAAATAGCATTTTAAAAAATTGAGCCATCTTTATTATCATTTGTTTCTTATTAGACATTTTAACCCTTCAAGGTACAAATCTCTGTCACCTCAAAATGGCCTTTTGAGTCCTAGATAGGAGTATTTGCACATTGGAATTTGGCATTTTTTCATATTACCTGTTTTTAAAATTTTTATTTAAATGTTCACGTTTTGCTTATTTTATCATCTTTAGGCTTGCTATAATATTTTTATGAATCCTTCCTGTTCTTTCCTCTAAAGAGAATAAAAGGAAGCTTAGTACTATCTACCTAGGCTCTGAAATGCAATCTGAGAAGTATATAGTTTCTCTCCCCAAATGATGGTGGTTGACTTCTTTTTCTCTGACTCATTTTCTTCCTGAATCTACAAAGACATTCTTAGCACTCACTACTGGGTCTTGATGTCAGCTCACATAGGACTCCTCAAAATTGACTTGCACTAGTGATTCACAGAAGACCTGCAGGTCAGAATTCTCTGGAGACAAATCATACCCAGCACCAGCATCAGCTCTGGAGAAATACTGTTAGCTGTTTTTTTTTTTTTATCTTATGTTTCTCTAAGAGGAAAACTCTGATCTTAAATCATGATCTCTTTATGTACACGTGATGATGAGTATTTGGGAACCTCAGCTTAGAGAGAAAAATATACTCTTCAGGTTGCATTTCACAGACTATGTGGATAGAACTAAGCTTCCCTTTATTGTCTCTTTAGAGGGAGGAAGAGGAAAGATTCATAAAGATATTCTAGCAATTCCTTCTATGTCACCTACTCTTAGATTAAAGCTGTTCAAAATAATTGACATGATCTCTTCCCCTACGTTTCCAGGTAATATATTCCCTCTGGCTTTCATCACTGGCTTTTATAGGTGGACATAGATGTGAAGTTTCTAACTCAGCCTCCCTGGATATATTGGTTTCCTTTTGCTGCTGTAACAAATTACCACCACCTTAGTGACTTTAAACAACACCAGTTTATTATCTTAGAGTTATGGAGATTAGAAGTTTGAAATAGTGTCTTGTGGGGCTCAAATCCTTTTGGAGGCTTTAGGGAGAATTTGTTCCTGGGCTTTTCTAGCTTTTAGAGGTTGTCCAAATGTCTTAGCTGGTGACCTCATCAGTCTCAACTCTGCTTCTATCATCAAATCTTATCTGTCTTTGACCCTCCTTTCTTTGTCTTATAAGAACCTTTCTAATTATATTGGGCCCACATGCATAATCCAAGGTAATCTCCCCATTTTAGATCCTTAACTTTATCACATCTTCAAAGTTTCCTTTGCAGTGTAACATTTCATAGGTTCTAGGAACTAAGGCATGGTCATCTTTTTTTTTTTTTAAATTTTGGGTGGGGGCATTATTCTCCTTACCATGCTGGATTTAAACCAGAGGACTTAATCTGAAACAGGTGCCTTGAGATACCACCCTTTTGTCACACAATAGAAGATGGATATAATGGATGATAAAGGTTACCTTGCCTTCTCATCCCAATGAGGTTTTGTTTCATAAAATCTTACTTTCATACATAAACTTAATGAAATTTGAGATCATAAATTTAATGGTTGTTTCCCACCTCTCTCCATCACTGAGTTGTATGTCCATGAGGGCAGAGGCAACTTCCATCATGTTCATCACCTTGTTGCTCATGCTTGGCTGTGGAGAGTATTGTGAGTAGCTTCCTACCACTTGCTCTACCTTGAATTTCAGTGCTGTACCCAGGGTATTGTGTTCATCCATCTACAGATGTACATATGACCTAGTTCTGGAAATATCTCCCCCTTAGTGAAAATAGCAATGCATGTGAGGCAAAAATCACTTTTGCCTCTGATATTTTGCTTCTTCCTTGAGACATTGTCATATGTCTTATTCTGCTCCAGCTGCCATAAGAAATATATCATATTGGGTGATTTAAACAACAAACATTTATTTCTCATAATTCTAAAGATTGGGAAGTCCAAGATCAAATTGCTAGACAAATCGGTTCCTGAAGGACTGCATCCTGGTTTGCAGTGTCCTCATAAGGTGGGAGGTAAGGTAGGGGAGACAGAATCTCTCATGTTTCTTCTTTTTTTTTCATTATTTTTAAAATTTTTTACATCATTGTTCATTTTTAAACAATATTTGCTTCCCCCAACCCCCTCAGGTGTAGTCCCCATAGAATTTCCTTCTCCAGTGCACCATCACCACAGTCCCCTGTGCTCCTCCCTCTCTTCCTCTGATCCCTCTCCCTCCTCCTCCCCTGCAGGATGTCTCTGATTTATAATTGTCTGATTTTGCTTTGTTGTGTTTTGTACTGTTATTATTTTTTTACACTGATGTCTTATTTGGTTCCCCTATATTCCTGCTATAAGTGAAACCATGCGATATTTTTCTTTTCCCTTCTGGCTTATTTCACTGAGCATAATTCCTTCTAGCTCCATCCATGTTGCTGCAAATGGCATGAGTTTATCTTTTTTTTTGATTGCTGAATAATATTCCATTGAGTATATATACCACATCTTTCTCATATTTCTTATAAGGACACTAATCCCATTTATGAGAGCTTCACCCTCATGACCTAATTACTTTCCAAACGTCCTGCCTGCTAATATCATCACATTGGGGATTTAGCTTCAAATTATGAATTTTGGGGGATCAGAAATACTCAGTCCATAACATCATACAAAGTTGAGAAACTTAGAGCTGTGGAGGCCATATCTAAACATTGAGGGGAGTCAAAGCTGACTTACCATGGCAGGGAGATGGGAGGATCCTGTGTTCCTGCTGGCATGCTTGAGCTGCTGTACCAATCCTGGCACTGTGTCTAAACTTCTGGTTTTGTGAGATAATTAAATGTCTTCATCATCTAAGCCACCATCTTCCAAGGATTTTGTAACTGGCAGCCAAATGCACTTAAACTGATATACTACTACAATGTCTGAGACATGGCTGGAATGTCTAATGAATAAATATTTCAGTTGACAGAAATGTCCTTATCACAACCTCAGAATTCTCTAAAAAAAAAAAAAAAGAGGATCACCCTAAGAAATAGCCACACTAAGCCCCTACATTCAGAAAGATGGCCATTCCAGGAAGAAGTCCGTGGTGACTGGAAGTAGCCTAGAGAAGTCTCTGATGTTTTGACTTTTACCTCAAGGAGGAGAATGATTTTATTATGGGTGACTGGGGTCCTCCTAAGCAAATTATCCTATTTAAATGCCAATTGTTTCTTCCCAGTTGATTCACTTTCTCTGTCCAATTCCCACTGGAGGTTTTGCCAATTGGGAATTGTGTGCCATCTGCTGAATTTCACGTAGACTGAACCAACAGGCAGATGCTCCATCCTGGAAAGAGAGAATAAGGCAACTTATCTCCGAGAAATTCCTCAGCCCCAAACCTTCCCCCTACAAGTATAGAATTACCAACCCTGGAGGACACGTAAGCACCACTAACCAACATAGGAAGTTCTGGGAGCTCCTGGGAGGAAGTTCTCCCAGGGAGCTTAAGAAGTTACAGAATGCTTGGAAGATCTGTCTAAGGCTGGGGTGCATGGATCAAAATGTTGGCCGGCAAGATTCACACCTACATCCTTAACCTGCATCCCAGCAGAAGTGGTACCTCTTAGGCTGCTACATGAGGTATTCGTCCTCTTGGCACTCTGAGGACACTGTCCACTTTGACCTCTGCCCACAGATTGAGGCTAGGCCCAGGCAACCCAAGCTATGACTATATTCATTACTATCCCAGAACTCCCCCAAACAACAATCTACCAAATGTCAGGATTATTTTCTCTTCTTTACATAGGCACAAGGGCATGTGGTCATAATGCTCCTTCGGGGTGTGATGTCCTCTTGAAAAAATCATACTTCCTTAATTTCCTATTCTCTCCCCTCCACACTGTACACCTGAGTTACAGCTGGCACACTTTGGCCTCCATGTTTTCTCAAGGCCCTTGGTGTGAATGGCAGTGTCATCCCAGTATAAGCCCCACCCATCTGCAGCTATATATCAGGAGGGGAAAAGCCAGGGGAGCAGACCACCTGGCACCAGAGGAAAGCTACTGCTGTACAAACTCCTTCAGCCTGAATGTCCTTTTCACGGACATTCCAGTCTACCTTGTCCTTGTACCCTCATACCAGTGTCAGCACCTCCCCAACACTCCTCATCCACCATGCAAGCTCCTCACTTTTATCCTGCCTTCCCCACCTACTCATGTTTCTACTCCTAAGTCTTTAGCTCCCTGGTTACTCTATCTCACCAGTTTACCTAATGGGTAGCTCCTAGTTTCTCCATCCCTTCAGACTAACCCAATTCTGATCTGTTTTCCTACATTCAGGTCCTTTTTGGGGAACACATCTCAAATTTATCTATTATTTGCATTCTTAATCATTAACAGAAAGTCACCCCTTTGCCCGGATTTGGTTTGAGCAAGTTAATTTTTTTCTTTTTTTTTTTCCCCTAGGGCAGGAGATCAGGCAAAATTGAATTTTGTGAACTTTCAAAATTAAAAACCTTTTCCTGGATTCTGAAGACCCCACTAAAGTGTCATCAAGGGAGGAGGCCTAGTCCACCTGCTTCTTCTGATGTCCCTCTTCCTCTGTATTATTAGTATACTACTACTAATAATAATCCAGAGTCTGTAGTATTAGTATCCTACAGTATCCATGAAATGGAGCTAATGTCTAAGGCTATTATGTTTACATGATCAACATGACAGCCTGTGCTAAGAGATCAGAATTCAGAATTACTGCCAAAAAGGAGGCGAGAAGATACTATTTCTCTAGAGAATAAGGATTTTAGAGAAAACAGTACATGAAAATGGAGCTAATGCACATTGCCTTCCCCTTTGGGTCAAGTGGTCTGAGGGAATTGGCCACTCCTGGTCTAAATTCTTTAGGTGGCTAAGCACTTAGAATTGGAGAATAACACATGTCCTGTTAAAAATGCCAGTACTCCCACTCAAGTGCTTCTAGTAGTGGTTGAGACCGCTGGAAATGCTTTGGGAGGCGACTTGGCAAAAATGCATCAGGAACTCTAAAAATGTTTGTATGTTCTAACATAGAAATTTCACATCGAGGGAGAAATTAGAAAGAAATAACCCCAAATAAGAAAACAAAGTAATAAACACAAAAACATTTATTGTACCCCATTCTTATTATAATAGGGAAACATTGAAACTAATTTAACTCGTCAGTGATAGGAAGATGATTAATTAAATCATATTATATTCCCTTGATGAAATATTATGCGGTCGTGAAATTTTTAATTATGGAATGACAGCAACACAGGAACATAATGATGTGAAATTTTTTTCACACTCTTGATTGAAGTGCCCTAAAAACACATAATCATATAATCAAAGAATTAAAGGGAATACACAAAATGGGAAATAGCTATGTTAATGTGGTGGAATTACTGGTGAATTTTTATTTTTATATTTCACCCAATGTGATGTTTCTATTTTTTTTAATATATAAAATAAATACATAAAATTTCAAATACTCAAAACATTGCTAAGCTGTGGGGCAAGAACTAGCTTTTATGTTTCAGCCACTGGGCTTGATATTAGTTTACATATGTTATTTGATGTAATTTTCTTTTGTCTCCTAAGAGGTATCTTTCTTTTGCATTTTTACATATGAGAAAACTGAGAGTGAAAGAAGTTAACTGAGGATGCATAGAAGGGGGAAGAGGGCAGGTAAACATTCAGTGTCACTCAATTTTCCAGGCAGCAATGTAGTTAAGGAGTGTCGGGAATTGGGAGCCCATTCTATTCACTGTCTGCATTAGATAATGAGGGCTAGTTCTCTCCTTGACTTACTTTCTTGTGCTGCTGTCCTGGCAGAGAATTGAGGGGTGAGCTATTGGCCCCACCCAATGAACTCCTGAATTACTGTACATCTCTAAGAGGACCTTCTTTAAGAATGGGTGATATCAAACATGTCCCTTGGAGCTGTCGCAGAAGTGGTGATGCATAGGTATTGCAGTGTAAATGGTTTTCAGGCTTTTCTGCCCTCTCACCATTAGCATTGCCCTGCCTGATGGGGTACCTGAAGTTGTTACATTGTTGTAAGCTAGAGTCTTATTTACTTCTGTGGGCCATGGGAGGAGTATTGAGATAGTCACCAAGAGAAGCAGAAGCAGGAGAGACAACAGGAGAAAGAAAGCCAGAAGAAAGAGAAAGAAGCTCAGAGTGAATACTTGCTGGGGACTAGGAGGCCCGCCGGCTCCCTGGCCCCCAGGCACCCCTGCCTTCTGTGTACCTATTTGCCACACTACATGCAAAGCTCAGTAAAAGCCTGAGAAAGCCACCGAGGGCTCCAGGACTCTTCCTTTACCCAGTCTGCTTGGATCATAGATAACCTGCTCTGTGGCTATCCTGCCACTACAGGTATCTTGAAATTCCTAGACCAGGGGCTTATGTGGTATCAATTGTAGGATCTGAGATAAGAGGAAAAAAGAAGTGAGGTGAGCAAAGAGCCGAGGGAGTAATGATAGAGAAAAAAATGGAAGAATCCAGAATCCAGAGAGCAGATGTGGAGAGAATGACGGAACTGGAGAACTTGCAGATAGGAACTTAGGGTTGGTGTGTAAGTTCTAAACAGTGATGTTTCAGGTTGTGACCCTGGAAGTGTGTCTGCTGTGGACTGAACTAGTAGGTTATATGGGTGTTATATGATGTTATAAGGGTGGGAACTTAATAGGACTAGAATATAAGAAGAGGAAGAGATAGGGCCTCCCTGGTGGCACAAGGGTTTAAGCACAGCACAATGAAGCTATCCACAGTGAGTTTGATCCCTGGAAGAAAGGCTATGTGAGGATATAGTAGGTGGCTGTCTACAAGCCAGGAAAAGAACTCTCACCAGAAACCAAATTTGCTGGCACATAGATAATGGACTTCCAGTCTCCGGAACTGTGAGAGAATAATTTTCTATTGTCTAAGCGTCCAGTATATAATAGTAAAGGCAGCCATCCCCTCCTCCCTCTCTTCCTCCCTCCTTTCCTCTCTTCTTTTCTCTCCCCTTCACTCCTTCCCTCCCTTCCTCATTTCCTCCCTCCCTCCCTCCTACCCTCCTTTCCTGTTTTATAAAGACGATCAACAGGGGAAAAAAAGACAAGATGAAATAGAAACAAGAAAACACTTCACAATTATTTTGTGGGTGATTCTCATGGTCTCATTTCCTAAAAAGCAGAACCTGAGGGAAAAGCTTATGGCCTAATACTTTGACTGGAATGCAAGCCAGGGGTGTGCGGGAGCTAGTGTGCTGCCTCACAAGAGCTGATTGTTTAATTTTCAGGGATTGTTGTTGAACACTATCATTAAAAATTAAAACACATAAATGTCCAATTAAATAAGTTATATTAAAAACAAAAGTAATAAATACCCCAAACTCATCATTACTAATTATATGACTGTATTTTAAAATTATTTGTACTTTTGAGTTACTTATATTTATTGTATATATGTGGTAGAAATGCCAGATAGTGGTGTGTTACTTCCCACCCCTTTCCACTCTATTCCCAGTCACATGATGAAATCAGCCATGCTGGGAGTACTCACATCACAGAAATAGGCAAATTATAAAACACAGGGCTTGACTAGTCTTGCTCATTGTGTAGAGTTAAGAAAGTAAAGGAGAAAAGGTTAACAATGCCCATTAAACTTAAAAGCCTGTCTTGTCTGTAGTCATTATTTTGTGCATACCATATAAAATGGAAATATTCTTCCTCCATTTGAAAATGATCTAATACTGACATGACTTATTTTGTTGCATTTTGCTTTATTGTGGTTAGCAATATGGCTTTTTTTTTTTTTTTTTTAAACAAATTGAAGTTTTGTGGCAACTCTGCTAGGAGCACGTCTATAGGCACCATTTTCCCAACAGCATATTTTCACTTTGTGTGTCTGTCACACCTTGGTGATTCTCACAATATTTTAGACTTATTCATTATTATTTTATCTGTTATGGTGGTTTGTGATCGGGGGTCTTTGATGTTACTATAGTAATTGTTTGTGGGCACCAAGAACTATACAATATGGTGAACTTAATGGACAAATGTATGTGTTCCAGTTGCTCCACCAACCCCCTTCCCAGTCTTTCTCTTGCTTCTTGGGCCTTCCTATTCCCCAAAGCACAACAATTTTGAAAGCAGGTCAATTAATAAACCTCACTGTGGCGTCTCAGTGCTGAAGTGAAGGGCACAGTTACACACCTCTCACTTTAAGTCAAAAGCTAGAAATGATTAAGTTTAGTGAGGGAGGCACATTGAAAACTGAGACAGACTGAAAAGTAGGCTTCTTAGGCCAGTTAGCCAAGCTGTGAATGCAAAGGAAAAGTTCTTGAAGGAAACTAAAAGTGCTACTATAGCAAATATGCAATGATAAGAAAGTGAAACAACCTTATTGCTGATAGGTAGAAAGTTTGAGTGGCCTGGATTGATTAAATCTGCTTCAACAGTCCCTTAAGCCTAAGCCTAATGCAGAGCAAAGTCCTAATTCCCTTCGATCAGTGAAGGCTGAGAAAAGTGAAGAAATTGCAAAGAAAGGCTTAATGCTAGGAGAGGCTCATAAGGCTTAAGGAAAGAAGCCATCGCCATAACATAATAGTACAAGATGAAGCAGAAAGTGCTGATCTAGAAGCAAATTATTCAGAATTTAGCTAAGATCAGTGATGATGGCTACACTAAACAGATTTTCAGTGTAGACCAAACAGTATTTGATTGGAAGATGTCATCTAGGACTTCATAGCTACAGAGGAGAAGTTAATGCCTGATTTCCAAACTTCAAAGGACGGGCTGGCTCTCTTGATAATGCAACTGATGACTTTAAGTTGAAGTGCTTAAATGCTCTGATGGATCTGGGTAAAGTCAATCTTTTGGAAAATTCCACCATTCTAGATGCCATTAAGAACATTTGTGGGCCTCCCTGGTGGCGCAGGTGGTTGAGCGCCGCACGGTGAGGCTGTCTGCAGCCTCTGCAGCACGGGTTCTATCCCGGCCGGCTGGCGAGAGTCCCACGTGGCGCAGCAGACCTCTCCTGTCCTGCCCGCTGCTCCCCTCAGCATTGTATTTCTTCAGTCTGCCTGTTCTGTTCCCTGCTCTGTCTCTGTTGAATCCTCTCGCCCTCCTGTGCATCTGGCCTGTACCCTGGTTCTTGTATTAAAAAAATAAATAAAAAAGAACATTTGTGATTCATGGGAGGTTAAAAAAATAGACATTAACAGAAGTTAAGAAGTTTATTCTAACTCATGAATGACTATATGGAGGAAGTAACTGCATAGTGAGTGATAGAAATAGCAAGAGAATTAGGAGTGGGACCTGATAATGTGACTGAATTTATCATGAGAGCAATTTTATTGTAAAACTTGAATGAATAGAGTTGCTTCTTATGGACAAGCAAAGAAAGTAGATTCTTGAGATGGAATTTGCTCCTGGTGAAGGTGTTGTGAACATGGTTGAAATGACAACAAAGGATTTATAACAGTATATACACTTAGTTGATAGAGGCAGGCAGGGCATAGTGCACGTTTTCTATGACTCTATGCAGACAGGTAAAGAAGAGTCCTGGAGCCTTTGGTGGTCTTTTCAAGGTTTTATTGGCATTTTACCAGGTACACGGCAGGCAGGGGGGCCGGGAGGCCTGCCGGCCCCCAATGAATCTTCACTCTTCCTGGGCTCTCCGG